ATTTAAAAGTAAACAAAGTACCCGAACTGAAATATGCAATCGGATAGTATTAAAGTGCAATTCGTACAATACTATTGTGCACGTAATAGCATACATTTTTAATGGTTTGATCCACACCAACTTAAAACCGACTTAATTATTTATTCGACCGATTAACCGAATTATTCTAAATAATATGTATAATTTATTATTCAAATTGTAAAAATATATTTATTATTTCAATGTTTATATTCAGTATTTTATATTTAATTTTGGTTTAAGAGACTTTATTTTATTCAAATTTTAGATCGATATCGATAATTTTATAATGTGCATTTCTACAAACAATAAAGTGCATGTAGTCTAACATTATTGTGCAATTTATTGATGGTGTATTTTATAATGTGGAAAATTGATGTGATATATATCATATTATAAAGTGCAATGTGTTGTTTTATAAAGTGCAATGCGTTTTCTTGTAAAGTGCGACATTCCGCTATATAAAGTGCATTAATTTATACCTTCATAGATAGATTATGTGTATTCGAAAATTAGTTTTTATTAAATATAAGTGTACATCGAACTAACATAAATAATTAAAATATCTTTTTATTTAGTATTTTTATCACATAATTTATTTATTACGATAAAGATGACATCGAACATAATTAACTAAAATTTTAAAGGTAAACACATATAATTGATCCGAGATGAATTTCGAAAAAAAAAAAAATAATTCAGTCGATAAAGTGCAATCCGACAGTCACTAGCGTGCCTCATGTGTAACGTTACAGTGCAATCTGGAAGACATTAATGTGCAATCAGTTTTAAGTATAATGTGAATTCGAAGTGCAATTAGTTTTTTTTTATAAGGTCGCTAAAGTGCAGTCCCTCATCTACTAACGTGCATCATGTCTAACGCTAAAGTGCAATCAGACTAACACTAGTGTGAATTGATAGTGTAATTTTTTTTTTTAAAAAAAAAAAACAATATAGTAACAGTATTTATATTAGAATGCACAACGTATTACTATATAAAGTACAATGATTAATTTCTGGCATGTTAACATGCTTGTTTTTTTGTAGACGGTGTAATAAAGTGCAATTATTGTTTTATAAAGTGCAACATGTTATTATATAAAGTGCGACATTTCCCTAAACAAATTGCACTAGCTAATTTATACTTCCCATAGAAATTATGTGTATATTTGCACATCAAATTAAAACCGAGACCTAACCCAAACAACCATATATATATAGTTTGGTGAATCTCTGATATTATTTTTTTGTTAAATAAAACCGAGACCTAACCCAAACAACCAAATTTTTAATATCTTTGAAAATGCACACTGTCATGTAAAAGTTCACTCTCGAACTCATCAATGTGCACTTGTTCTAAAATTATTGTGCATTCTGACAGTTATTAACGTGCAACTTGTTTCATAATATTGTGCATTATGTAGAGTGTGATTTTTTTTCTTTCTTTTTTTTTTTGTCCAAATTCAAACTAAAATCGAATCGAAATAATCAATTTATTTTGTCGGTTAATTGAGTCAACAAAATAATAAAAAAATTAATTATTATTTATATTATAAAAATATATTTATTTATTAGTATTTTTATTTTAATTTTTTGTCCTATTTTTGGCTGAAAATACACAATAATATATATAAGAAAATTATTTTATATATAATTAAGTTGGTTCGGATATTTTCCTTATTTTAAAAATTATAACTGAAATCGAACCTATATATTTCGATTGGTTAGGATATTTTTGTTATTTTAAAAAATGTAGTTGAAATCGAACATAGATAATAAAATTAAGAATAGATAAATATAGTGGAATTTTAATTTTTAAATGAGATATATTTTTAGTTTTGTTGGTTGAAAATACTAATGTATACTCTCCAACACAACACCACAATTCTTTACTGTGCATTTTCTTTAGTAATAATGTACATTTGTTAATTGTTAATATTTTTATACATTACATAGTAGTAAACAAACATCCAAAATTTGCAAATAGGCCCTGCAGAGTATCTAATTTGGAGAATAAAGCCCACAGACCAAAAAATTACAGTCCTGTATTTTTGCACATATCCTCATATGAATTCGGCAATCTGCAATCGATTGGGGCGGCGAGGTAATCGTTCGGAACTCTCATTTTGCGATGGTCGAGATGTGTCGGCGGTTATAGATCGTCCAACAAAGGCAGCGGCGCCGTGTACAGTGAGGCAGCGAGTGTGTACAGGGCAACTACGGCAGCAGCAGCGGGCGTATACAATTCGACGACGGCGGCTGAGAGTAGTAAGTACATGGAACGATCCTTATCCGACGGTTTTCGGCAAGTATAGCTTGGATATCCAGGTCGGCGGCCATCGTCCGGATCTAGGACGGCGAAGATGGTGGGTGGAGAGGGCGTGCGTCTGGAAGATTTTCCGGTTGGCGTCGCTGGAGGAGACGACCTTTTCATCGGCAGAATGGAGAGGCGGGGTCGGCGGATGCAAATATAAGGCGGCGACAGGTGTTGACGTTGGCATTCCCGGGCATCGGCCGGCGGAGAGTGGAGTGGCCGGTGGCTGTCGAGATCTGACCGAGTGT